TCTCCATCTACCTATAAAAAAAACAAAACAAAGCTTTAGAAAATCTTAGAAAACAGTGAATGATTTTGTTTTAGACCACACTTACAAGTAACATACTATTTTTTTTTTTTTTTTGGATTTTTAAATTTTTTTTATACTTACATTTCTTATTTTTTTTCAATTTTATCTAAGAGACTGGCAAAACAATCCATCATAAAGCTAAAGAATTACTGGCAATGATATTCTGGGCTGTTGAAAATTCCAAAACAATTTCGCTCCCTTGCTATATGAATGAATTTACCCTCACATTGTGGGGCGGAACAATAAGTGGTGATCTTTTTCTCTACTCTTTCCCGCTTATAGCAAACAACACAGTTTCTCTTTACATCAGCAACACGAGGGATGTGTTGGGTTACAAACAAGGAAGGTGGGGGTGGACGTGGAGTCCTTGGCCTACCACTAGTATAAAGAGGGGGGGAGGGGGGTCCCCATATTCATCAAACTTACAGATCTGGCGAACAAGTTCATCCCTAAAATGACATTGGCTATAGCCAGCTGGTCTCTCAATGTCATTCGGATTATTAGCCGTATGTTCTAAAAACAATATGTAACTATTTACTACAGCCATGTCGATTAGATGGAAAAACAGAGTTTTCCACCATCTCAAACACTTATGTTGGATGTTAAACGTGGAGAGGATCTGGTCTGACCTGTCAACAGCATTCATTTTCAGGTTGTAAGTCTGAAAAATTCGAGGCTGTTGAACAAGTATGTTTGTCCATGTTCCAGCATTCCTTTGTTTCCGGGATACCTGGACGTGGTCATTTGCATTGCCCACAGTTGTAATCATGGACACGACCTTATTCTCCACCCACTGCAAAACTAAACAGGGAGGGTCCCTCACCCAGCGCATACAGCCCCGCTCCTAACCCTTCGCCCACTCTTTGCTGTTTTTAAGAGCGGCTGGGAAACTACGTCTACTGTCTAAAATAGTACCTGTGGCAAGGACACCATTATCAAACAGATCTCTAAAAAGGATAAGGGTTGAGTAGAAATTGTCTACGAAGAGATGGTAACCCTTATTGTAATAGGGGGTCATTAGACGCAACACTACATCATATCCAAGCCCATTTGCACCGACTTCCTGCCCTGCGGCTCTACCAATGTAGATGTTAAAATCAACGGTATAGCCATTTGAGCTGTCTGCCAGCACCCAGAGTTTGATGCCCCATTTTGTGGGCTTATCCTTGATGAATTGGCGAAACCCTAACCTGCGCCTAGACTTCACCATGCGCTCATCAATAGCGACATGTTGCCTAGGCTTGTACAATTCAGAACATTTATTCTTAAAATGAGTGATAAAGGACTCTACTTTACATAGCTTATTATTAGGGTCTTCAGTTGCTGGATGGACTACATGCAACATGGCTAAGATGGCAAAATACCTGTCGCGGGAAAGGATTGCACGGGCCCAGAGACCATGGTAAAGGGTCTTCGTACTCCAGTTCTTCTGGACATCACCTCGGACATGAACAACACCGAAATGAATCAAAAGGGCAATAAATCTTCTGATTTCATCGGCGGTCAAGTCGCTCTCGCGTTCTCCTACTACCGGACGCCATTTCACTCCCACGTTCAAAAAAATCCAACGCTGCCCCCACTGCCTTATATGGCATGAAACTCGGTCTGTGATTGGCTAAAGCTGCTAACTTCCTGTGAGCCAAATTTGGAGGCAATCGGAAGTAACGCAATTTTTTGCGAGTTTTTTTTTCGTTACCGATGCCGCAGCATCGACGGTCATTGGTGCATCAAAGGAAAAGACAATGTTATTGCGGACTGCCTCTCAAGAGCGTGAGTTTATTGCAAAAAAGTTTTGCAAACTTTCTTGGGAGGGTGTTATGGAGAGCTAATGTAAATCACAAGCTTCTGGAGTTTTCCAGTCACTCGACGTTTGTACTAGAACTTTCTATTGTCACGCAGTAGAGCTGTCTAAAACATTCTGCTGGATGATGTAACTCACGATGTAATGTTACAAGAATAGTAGCCTTGTAAGCTCTTAGAACTATCTAGAACATGAAATGACTGTATTTAAGGGCTTAGCGAGCTTTGAGTTAGTCGTTGTTGTTACGGCAGATATTGATAGGAGAAGCTATGCTGGGAGAGCTATAGCAGTTTGCTGAGGAGTACTTTGAAGTTAAGTCATCTCAAGTGGCTCCAGGACGTTTAGTGATCGCAGTGTCTACTGTGAGTTTGTGTCAGAGCGGCTGAAGGTTAACAATAGGCTCTAAGTAGTTTATAGTAAGGTTGTATTGTGCGAGAATCGCTCCCAAGTTGTAGTTATCACTTGAAGTATAGATAATTAAATTAGTTGATTTTAAGGGGTGTTTTTTTGTATTTTTCTGTCGGTTGAATTATACCGTAACAGTACAAAAGAACAAGGAATTCATAGACTACATTTTAAAGCATCTTATGCAAAGGCCAAGAACACAAACAAGCACAGACCACCTTTATTGTAGAACACAAACATTTTTTAAAATTTTTATTCCTGTTATTTTTTTGTTTATTGTTGCATTTTACGTTTGAGATTAAACGACTAGGTTTATCTGGGTATAATTGACACTTAAGTGACGCACTTCTGTTTGACTGTGTAACATTCACTGACCCGCGGCGCTACGGGTCAATCAGTCTCGGTTCGCCTCGACCTCTTCGCCAGCTCGACCTAGTTTCTGATTTTTGAGAATCATGGACGAAGAAACACAAGCGTGGTGCGAGGCCAATGGCTTTACCGGCCACACCATCAAAGCACTCATTACGGAAGAATTCGTCTCCATGCAAGCTATAAGGGCCATGGCGGCCGATGTTATTGCGAGCTTCTCCTTATCTTCTGCACAACGCTGTCTACTGAGAAAAGCTGTTCGTAAGTCTCAGTCAGCTCCGCCTCTGCCTCCGCCTGTACCAACATCCACAACTAAGGAGGCAAACGAACTGGCCAATGATCTCGACTTACTAGAATCATCTATCTTGGCCTTAGCCCAACAAAAGGACGCCCCTACCGAATCGACCAAGACTGGGGAAGGTAAGCCCTCAAAATCCATACCACTTGCTCACGAGGCTATCTACATAAAACCGCGTAGCGGCAAGTCAGATTCGAAGGTCAACCCTCTTGATTTGACCTGCTCGGAGTTTACTACTGGCTACTTTTCGATCGTAGATGGTTTGTTACACGGTGGTGAACACGCCCGACTCAGCAGCTCTGCCGTTACTTGAAATTCCTGTCCAAAAAGGCCATCGCGTTTTCTACCACGGTTATTCTCCAATTTGACGACGAGTTTCGTGGCATGGTCGCGCGTGGAGAGGCCGCTTACGACGATCACACCTCTCTCAACGATCTGCAAGCCCACCACTTCGACTCCTCGGCAGTAAAAGCAGCTAACCTTCGGCCCCGAGATCGCGGTCGCATTCGCTCAAGTAATTCTCAAGCTGGCAGCTCCAAGTCTTTAGGAAAACAATGTTACAAATGGAACGAAGATTCTAATAACTGTGGCGGATGCAATTACAGCCACGCGTGTCTCGTGTGCGATTCCACGCAGCATGGCGCTGTGTTTCATCGCATTTTACATTATATTTTCAGTACTGTAATATAAATTCCCCATATTAAAGCCAGACTTTTGGTCAAAATGTTTATGAAAATGTAGTCTAACCCCACATATAAGAGCCTGTTGACTTTTCTTGGCTATAAACTGGTTCTTATATTTTGGAGTATTAAAATGACAAATTTCTACCAGCAGGTTCTTAAATCCTAGGTTCTTCTTCGCGGCGTTTTACCGTGTTTTCTTTATTTCAATAGGGTAGCTCTTTCAATAGGGTAGCTCTTTCAGTTTTTCTAAAAGGTAGAAACTCAGAGCTATCAATAGAGGCCCTATTGCACCTTGTGAAACCTTTTGTGTCTACTCCGCTTGATTTATTCTAGTAATTGAACTCTCTTGCCAATTTACAATGGCATGTAGTCAATTAATTTTATTATTTGATTTGGCTGATCAATATTGAACTAAGATATATTTCCTCCTCGTCGACTTTTTTTTCCGGGTATTCATTATGATGGTTGTCATATTTATCCTAGAGTCTGTCCAAGACGCCATTGCGGAAAAGGAGCTAATTGGGACCGAGCAAAAACGATCGCCCGTCGACTCCCCCGACGTCCCCGATCACAGTACAAATTTGAGTCTTTATATGTCTGTAATGATCGCCAACCATCGCAGTAATTCTGGGACGCGTCTGGAAAATAGAAACGCTTCCGATTCTCCTGATTTGACCCCGACCATCACAGACGATCAAGGATATCTACGATTTCGAGTTTTCATTGTCGACCAAATCTGAGACGGTCGGGAAGCAGTAAAATATCCTATCGTCTTTGGTATTTCCGACAAATGAAAACCAAGCTTTCTGGAGCTCGCTCGCCCCAAAATACACTGCGGGCTATTTACTTATTAGGGAGGTAGGCGGAAGTGTGCGCTTCTTTCTTTGTGTTAACCAATCTTATCCATCTTTGCCCCTTCTCTCTCCCCCCCCCCCCCCCCCCCTCCCCCACCCCCCCCCCCCCCACCCGTTTCCCGTTCCTCGTTATTTTTCTAGGAGGATTTCATGAAACCGTTCCACTACATCAGTATTTAATCGAAAAAAATTCGATGCGTTCTCTTAACACCCTCGAGTAATTTTCTGTTTTAGATTCACTCATTGATCCACACAGGTTTAGTACCATCCTTTTATTTGTTTCAGCCATAAAAGATCCATTACAGATCTCCAGCAAAACAGCGTATGCTACTAAAGTACAAACCGAGCCGTAATGACCTGTTTTTACCTTTTTTAGGTTTTAGTGCATCTACTACTGCGACAAAAGCCCATTACTTAGAAACGTTTTTGAACAAAAGTTTCTCTAGAACATGTCATTTCAGTCAGCTTTAATAATAATATTTTATTCCCTTAATTTGTGAGGTTATGGTGCAGTTGCCACGCAATATTCATCAAATTCCAAGTTCCATCAAATAGGCGCCAAAGAAGGTATGAACGGCAGCCATGTAAAGCACGCAGCCGTCGTAAGCCGAAGTAAACGAGATTTCGTCATTTTCTTTCAAGTTGAAAAGACCGCCTACGTGCGAGGTAACCTGTTCAATGGGTTGTACCGGAGCAGGGGCATTAACCATGGCCTTGATAATGTTATTCACCTTAACAAAGACTCTTCCATGGCTGTTATGGTAGGTATTGAGGTAGATATAGTACAGTCCAGTGATAGGCACGGTTAGTTTCCCATCTTCGTACCTCATACCGCCTGCTAGATAGCTGTTCGGAGCACTGACAGACCAGTCTTTAATCACTAAAGGATAAACAAGAGTGATCTTACTTTCTTAGTCTAGGTTATTTCGAAATAACATGACTAAGGAAATGGACAAATTGAACACAGCCAGTCAGGTTTTTTCCTTAGTATGATGCGCCTTTTCTTTTTAGCAATTTGCTTTTACTGCGTCATTTGTCTATTGCTTTTTACAAGAGTAACCTAAACAATCCTCAGTCAATGTTTTTCTGGAAATTTTTAAATCGGCGGAGACCCTTAAGATGCAGCTGATGATGAAACATTGAGCGCATAGTGGTGGGTTTAAGCGAAGGGTGAGGCTTAGCTCGCGAGCAAGCTCTCCATTTGTGGGAGTCGGGAGAAGTCACGTGAGAGCAGCAAGCAAAAGGACCCTCAAGGGTGGCAAGAAAATCAAGAAAATATAAATGTACTTTGATTGGCGTTATACATCACTCTTCCCAAGTTTGGAGCTTCGATATGAGCAGATGGCTTGCGATTATTGTGTGAAACCTGTAACAGAGTACAACAAAGAACTATAAGTGGCGTGTTGTAAATAGCGATCGCGGACAATGATTAACAGAATAGGCCACTTCAGAGTTCCAAAAACCCTCACTTTCAAAATGAGGCTTGGTGCACAACCCTTCTTGTGAAAATGAGTTTTACTTGCATGAGAATGAAAAGTAATTTCCATATCAAAGGCTGAGCACCTACCCCCGTTTTGAAACAGAGGCCCGGGGGAACTCGGGAATGGCCTATTCCGTGACAGAGTTGAAATCATGAACTTGGAAAACCCTAAACACCACATATATTTCTGGAATATTTCTGTGTCGCAAGAAATAAGCCAATCAGGCGTGAGAAAACTAAACCGTAAGCAAGAACGTTAATTAGTTTGCGGTTTTGTGGCCAGTTCGTGTGTCCTGATCTTTGCTGTGATTGGTCATACGACAATAAACATTCCCGAGATGTTTCAAGCGTTCACGGTTTTCAAGGTCGCACTGTAAACGTCCCTTGTTCCTAGCGAAACGCCGAGCAAAGTGAGTTTATAATCTCGTCGCGCTCGAAGCGCGCGCGCAGTGCGTAAACCGCGTGTGGGTCCTAGCGAGCTACAAACTCGCAGCTCTCATCTTTACTTGTATACACTGTATATCCGATGGTGTCAATCCTCGTAGGGAAAGATTTGACACCGACAAATCCTCTGGAGCGAGAACGCTGACTTCAATTTCAACGACGCAAGCAACAAAGATGGAGACGGCATCAACAAACAGCCTAGCAGAGGGAACATCACTCAATGAATTTCGAATGCTAAAGTACTTTAAGAGCAAATGGAAGCGATTTTGGATAATTAGCCTTAACATATAAACGAACATCGCGGTAACAAAACACGTTTTGCTAGCAGACGAGTTTATACCGTATCGGCCTAGACTGTTGGGCTTCCATTCTTTACATGTAAATGTGATGAAATGCATTTACGTTAGGTTTTCTCTGTCGAAACTGCAGTCATTCTTCTGAAAAATATCTTTGAATTCACGTTTAATAAGGCTCGAAGGTTTTAATAACGAAATTACGACAAATCTTCCTGTGTGTTCCACGTGGCCTAGTGGTATAGCTTTGGCCCGGTTGCATCGAAGGTCCTGAGTTCGATTTTTCTCTTCGCTTCTTTTCTTTTCTTCTTCTTTTTTTTTCTTTTTCTTTCGTTTGATTTTCATTTTAGGTATAACAGTTTTGTTATGTTTCTATATACAATTTTCAGATTTACAAACTTTCTTCTCGGCTTTACTTGCCGTTCCCCCGAAGTCCTTCGCGAGGTCCTGCGATTTACGTATTTCTAGTAGACAACAGTGTTATAATAGCGCTTTCTACTAATGACGTCAAAAATTTCTGGTCCCTGCTGTGACTCAGACATTAAACCTGACCAGTGTAAGAGTTTAGTATGGGAAAGTCACGTTCGGCAACAAACTCTCGTCGTCTTTGAAGATGTTTATCGTTAAAGGAAACAAAATCCAGCTTGGTTTCGATAATAAATATCCTGAAAATATTCAAGGCGTGCCAAGACAGCGTTAAACGTGAAACAAACTGTACAGATGAGTGGTTTTATTTCTTATGCGGCGTCATTATGCTGTGGGTTAAATTATGTTAAAATGTGTGGAGAGCAGGGCTTAATAGCTGTGCGTGAAACGGTGCATTTGGTTAAATTTATAGGCAAAGGTTGCTCAATTTTTTTTCGAGTGCTTATGTTACGCTACTTAGTACTACAGGATATAAAGTACTAAAGTATTCGTCCCGGATTCATATGGTCTGCAACAACAGAACTAACTTATACAATTTCCGGTTTGTGCTAACGTTGGTGTGCTTTTCACCTTAGATTTTCTGTCATAGGTTTGCGAGAAGGACCTCCAAACTCGATTTCCTCTATTGGAGTATTACACAGCCAATAATGTTATGTCATGTGTCAGTGCATAGCGGTGTTTTCTTCCTAAGACACAGAGTGTCACATTAAGTCCTTAGATCCCAATAAAGCTACTGGTCATGCTTACAGGATGGAGCCTCAGTTTTGGCTGCTCCTATTGCACGACTGATTAACACTGTTATTGATAATGCTTGTGTTCCTGCTGAATGGAAACTAGCAGAGACCTGTCCTATCTTCAAGAGAGATGATGAGTTTGACAAGTCCAAAAACAGGCCTGTATCCATCCTTGTATTGTTGGACAAGGTTTTTGAGAGATGTGTGCAAAAGCAGCTTGTTCACTACTTCAACCCGTATTTGTCTAAGTTCTTGTCAGCATATAGAAAAAGGTTACAGTTGCGAGTCTGTGTTGTTGCATCTTATCGCGGACTGGAAAGGAGCTCTTGACAAGAATTCTGTGGTTGGGTCTGTAATAATGGACCTAAGTAAAGCTTTCGATCTGATACCACACGACTTATTACTTGCGAAGCTTTCTGCTTATGGTACCCATAGTTTAAAGAAGAGCTATTTAACAAATCGCAGGCAACCGGTTCGAGTAGAGGACGTTAAAAGTAATATCTCATATGTTAACAGCGGCGTTTTCAAAGGCTCCGTTTTAGAACCCTTATTGTTTAATTTCTTCATAAATGACTTATTTTATTTCATCAAAGAGGCGAAGCTGTCTAACTATGCTGATGATAATCAGTTGTATTTTGCTAATACTGATCCAGCTGTTGTCGAAGATGTTGTCAATAAGGAACTTGTGGTTGTGTGTGAGTGGTTTCGTAATAACAAGACGATCTTGAACCCTGAAAAATGCAAGGCGCTGGTTCTCTCGCGAAAACCCATTGTCAAGCTATCACTATTTGCTGAAGGTGTTGCATTACCATTATTTGATACAGTAGATCTATTTGGGCTAACATTGGGCAATTCCCTGAATTTTGGAAAACACATTACGAAAATTAGCAAGAAAGTTGGAAAGCAACTAGATGTTCTTTGCAGACTAAAGAATATATTATCATTTCGGACCAAACTCTGCCTTTATAATTCGTTCATAATGTCTCATTTTCATTACTGTTCCTCCATATGGCATCACTGTTTAAAGTCTGATAGTAAGAAACTGGATAGGTTGCATGAACGAGCACTTCGTTACTTGTACAGTGAATAGCTATGTTACGTAATTTTTTAGGCTTTATTCTGTAAACTAGGTATTTCTATCGATAGAGTGCCAACGAGCAAATCATGCGTATTTTGCTTAGGAATAAAAATTCCTTTTTTCCCCCCATTTGATCGTTTCTTGGTCCCTTCCTGTTGCAAGGATTATTTTCTTGAAAAGGTGTTAGGTGCTAATTAGTTTTTCTTGCAAAGTCGTAAAAAATTTTGAGTTCATGTATTGAAAAGGCGGGACAAATTAGTATTGTTAACCATTCCTACAAGAAGACTTTAAACGACAACTTATGTAATGTACAAAAGTTGACCGGTTGTAATTTTTGAAGTAACGATAGTGTGAATCAGCGATTTATATGTATCATGATACATTCTTCGTAATTTTTGTATCTCTCTGACTATTTCGTTTTGACTGGACACTAACCGGACTCAAGTGAATTTTAGAGTTAAAGCCGATTTTCTGACTACGCATAACCTCGAAGGAAAATATGATGATATTCCTTACAACCAATCGGGTTTTTAGTGATGTAAGACTAAATTTCAAATGATTAAAATTGATACCTCTCATGTCCAGTCAGGATAAAAGGAGCTACAACAGGCTTTTGTCAGGGAGAGATAGAAAAGCGAGTGTGAGATTAAGTTGTCTTGTAACAACGTTGAAGTTTAGAGAATACAAAGTTTGCTAAACCAACAGAGAACGCGTGTCTTTTCTTGCGAAGCCGATCCGCAGAACTAGTCCCCATCAATTGGGTTTCGGTCTTTTCACAAATCGACTAGATAAGTAGGCTCAAGCAACTTTTTATCACAGTGACAAGCTAGATTCTAGTCCAAGCTTCCTACACTTACTCTTAATTTCACTGTGCCGTCCTCACAAAGAAGACAGGGGAATAATTACTCTCCGGCTAAGCTCAACTACCCTGCAAGCAGAGTCGCTTCCATCTTTCCTAGATAAATCGGGAAAGAGGAGGCGAATCTGCTGACATCTTCAAATTCCTTTGATTTGCCGATAACCCCGCGATTTGGATGAGTCAGACAAGTTTCATCCTGGATAAACCAGTACTCGCACGCTTATTCTGGAGTTAAGCTGACTCTTTCTTTGGAAAATGCATCCCGATTTGAGATGGATTTTGTTTTGGATTTAACCGATTTAACCATGTGCTTAGCCGATTTTACTTGCGTGAACGGATCCATAATCCAGTAAGTGTTACGCGAAGTTCTTGGACGGATAAACAAATGGGTTTTGAATAAAAATATTTAAGAAGCAATATATGTTATGCCTATTCTTTTGTGTTTGCTTATTCATAACAAAAATACGTGCACGAGGCTAGACAATTCAAGTTACATTTAAATGATCGATGCTTTTACAGCTGTTTTTGGATAACAGCCGACCTGCGATGTCCAAAACGTCTTTGGATTTTGTGTTTCTCAAAATCTGAAGAAGCGGGACTTTCTTCGCTTTCTCGCCCTTATACCTTAGCGAACCTCTTAGGAAACAAAAGGTCGTAGTTTGTGATTTGTGGTTGGTGGATTTCGATCCGTTTTGTGTGTTTCTGTGTTTCAAGGTTCTCTGCGTTGTTTTTGAAAAGCACCGTAAGTTTTACCTTAGCTCTAAGTTTTTTTGTCTTCTTTGGACTGAAACATGGCAAGTTTAGATTCCCAAGGTGAAATTGGTGGATTTCTATCCGTTTTGTGTGTTTCTGTGTTTCAAGGTTCTCTGCGTTGTTTTTGAAAAGCACCGTAAGTTTTACCTTGGCTCTAAGTTTTTTTTGTCTTCTTTGGACTGAAACATGGCAAGTTTAGATTCCCAAGGTGAAATTGTTCCTATAGAGCTTCCAAATCCAGAGGAAACACAGGTCACACAGATACGGAAGGGTGAAAACGAACTGGTACGTTCCCG